CAACGGCTGAGGCAGATGCAGAAGGCAATAGTCTGGAATGTCAACAGTCTACACTTTTTACAGCTGAATGGCCAGTTATTTCTCAAAAAAGATCAAGACATGCACCTCCCTGGCTGCCACAGGTTTCCCAAATCTCAAGATTGTTCTTTCACCAAGCCGGGAAAATCTCAGCCCAGTCATCTCTTCATTTCCCACCCACCCAGTCATTCATTAAAAAAATTAAATTCTATATATCATGTTCAGTTCAGCCATACCAGCGAGGCTTTGGAGAACATCCAGTATGCTACACTGCCAATCAGAAGTCTGTTTACTCTTGTACTTTTTAAATTGTGTACCATGGGAAAATATCCATTTTATTAAATATTTAAGGAGTGAGTGGTCTCATGTCTGAACAGCTGCTCAGTAAGTGTGATTTCCTCACTCCAAGACCCTTAGAAAACACCAGCCACATTGGATCATTTCTGCAACCAAGCCTTCACCTGGGACAGATGCCATCTGACATCTGCTATCTGTCCTCACCCCTACCCCTCTCATTAGGTAACAGCAAACCTCCCTCTACCCCCACCCCACTCCACCCTCTGCCAGGAAACTTCTCCCTGACTCCACGAGGTTAGTGAGGCATGTCAGTTACTGCCCACAACTGGAGCCAGCAACTGGCTCAGAGGAGGCCATGTGGCCCAACTCAAATCCACGGACCTCTGAAAAGGTACAGGTCCCTTCCAACCTTTGAATTTTGAGCTGTGAAATGCTACCTGGGGCAACTAGGAAGAGAAAAGAATGAGACCCAAACAGGCAGAAGCCAAAAGAGTGGAAAAGGTCATAGTGTTCTGTCCTGGACACAAGGTGCCGGATGGGCTCCAGCTTCTCCCAAACGCCAGGTGCCCATGCACCCCACTCCAGGTTTGTCCTCCCTTCCAGTGAGTTTTGGACTAACAAGGACAATCAGCAAAGGACATTGTCTTCCCGTCCTGTGGCCCCTGTGAACACAGGCAGGAGAAGAAGGGGCAGTGACTGTCTCACCCCAAACTCCTTCCATCCACCCCTACCAACGTTCCTCTTCCCTGACTCTGCAAACCCTCTGGGAAGCTCTCGGGCCTCACAGAGAAGATCGGAGGGCCGGATCTGGTTCACTCTCTCCCTGGGGTCTGAAGGATCTGCGCCGTGTTCAAGGACGACGCTGAAACATTCTTTTCCGCGTGCCTGATCTGAGCCTCACAACTCAGGTGAGCAAGACTGTGTCCCTTTCACATGGAAAAGCCGAGTTCTACGGAGGTCTGGGAGAAGCCGGCATCACACAAAGACTCGGAGGGGCTCCTAGAGCGGCAGGACAGAGACAGCAGCCCGAGGTGGGAAAGGCCCAGGCCAGGGACACGCTGGGCGCGGGCGGGCAGCCCTCGGGCGCCCCCACGAGGCCGGCGCGCTCCAGGTCCTGGACAGGATCGGACGCTTTTTGCCAAGCCCAGTGCAGGGAGCGCGGGGCTGCTGAGGGCCTTCTTCCTGGGCAGGTTCTGGCGCCACAGCTTCTTCTCCACCGCGTCCGCCCCGCGCTCCTCCTGCTGGCATCTCAGGCCTCCCACCGCAGCTGGCGCTGCCTGTCCGGATTGTCGCACCCTCCGCCTGGTTCGGCAGGTCTGTCCACTTCCGCTTCGCGTCGGCCTCCAGCTCCCGCGCCTTCTGGTCGTCCAGGCCTGGCAGCGCGGGGTCAGCTCTGCCGCCTGCAGGAGTTCAAAAGCGCCCAGGCTTCCTCCCTTTTGGCTGCACGAGACTCCCCTTCACCTCCTGCTTCTTCCTCCTCTTTGCGCCTTGCTGGCCGACTGGCGCTCACTTACCTCCATCTTGCGGACGACCAGCCCCGGCAGCTCCTGTCGCTCGTTGGCCACCTCAGGGTTGGCCTTGGCCTCTGCCTTCCCTTTTGCCGCAGCACTTTCGCTTCCTGTCTCCTTTTTTTTTTTTTTTTTTTTTTTCCTTTCGAAACAGTTGGCCTCTGTTTCTTGGCATTGTCCTGGCCCCGGTGTTTTCTCCTGCAGTCTCAGTGGTGTTAATGTATGGGGGAAAGAGAACCATTCTATAGTCCTTTGATTACGTCACTATCTTCTAGTGAGCATATGCCCTGGGCTGTGACCTTGGAAAGTGCTTCTCAGCATCCATGCCCTATCCCCTCCACTTAGGTGAGACAGGAATGCTAGAGGGGCTTGGAGTTGAACGATTGTCTTACCTCACTTCAGTTAGGCTCTCGTAATTTCCCCTGAGGGAAGCGGGCCGAGAATGCTCTGGGCTTGTATCACCATGGTTATTTTTCTCTGCCTTCTGCTAGGAGCATGAAGAGACTATTCTCCAGTGTTCACAGTGAGAACCTGGTGCGGATCCTGGAAGTAAAACACATAAGTGTGAAGACCACCCGAGACTGAGTACCCGAGTTTAAAACGCTCAAGCTTGTCTACACCGGGTCTCAACAATTAATGAATTATTACATGTTCGTATGTTCTTAAAAACACTGGCTTCATCTCTGGTCTTTTAAACCCGGTCTTCTAAACCTGGGCTTTAGTTCCTAGAATTGGGAATAAATTGTGACTGTCTTTAACTGCCTGTCCCTCCACTTTTCAGGACAGCACTTTGCTCTGTGACTTCATTTCTATCATGGATCTGAGATTTATTTTTACTTTGTTTAGTTTTCTCATTGATGAGAAGATGGGAGGGATAATCTCAATTCTGCTCTTTTTCCACATGTAAAACTTTGATGGAGTCAAATTTTGGCTTGAAAGTCCTGATGACCACCCTGTGGGAGGCTGTAGGATATTGTCGAGCTTTCTGACATCTCAAATCCCCAACCTCAGGTGTTTTGCCCTTGGACACCAAGATCCTTGACTCTGGTCTGTCTTACTGTTCCTTAGTCACAAGTCTCCCAATCTCATAGCTTTCCATGATGGTTCTTGCTGGACATCCTCAAGGATCTCTGTCAGACTGACAATAATTAGAGACAATCTCAGAATTATACATGTGCTCATCTGGATTGTAACATTTTAATTCTAAGTGTCAAGTATCCAACAATCAAGGGAAAAATGACCACAGTCCATTGAAAATTCCTCTCCCATACTGTCAAAAATGCTCCAGACCACAGTCCCACATGCTGGGATTATTTCCTCTGCCCCTATCCCACTCTGCCTTGGCCAAAGATTTTCTAGCAAGATCTGAATTTTAATCCATCTCTCTTCACCTATGTGTCCTGACTAATTTGGCAGAAAGAGTTTTTTCTTAAAACCTTGCCATTTAATTCACAAATAGAAATGTGAAGGGTCAATAGGTATGTGAAGAACCTATTCACCCATATTCACTGGAACTCAAGAGAAACGAAAATGAAAAGAACACTGAGGTATCATCTTAGATACATAACACCGTCAAACATTTGAAGGTGGCTAACACCAAGTGTCAATCAGGATATGAGGAAAAGAGGAATTATACACAAAAGGACAGAAATCTGGCAGTAACAAAAGAAAAATAAAGTATATCTATGCTCTGCTCCTCCGGAAATCCCATTCCTGATAAATACATCCCAGTGATGCTCTGCTAATCTACAGGGGATGTTTAGAAAGGCATTTACCACATCAGTGTTTATAATAACCAGGAGTAGGAGGCAATCAAATGTCCCTCACAAGTGGAAGTGGTAAGTTACAGAAACCTAGGTTGGGTTTCTCTAAAACTAGGCCCAAGGAAAGGATTTGCATTCCAGTGGCTTATTTTGATTTAGGAGATGATTTAAGGAAGCAGCAGTGTGGGAGTGAAACAGTGAAACCAGGGCAGCTTGAGAATCAATAAAAAGGTGCATTGTTGGCAGGTTGCCTGTGAAGAAATGGAGCATAATCCCTCTAGAAAACACCAGGAGGCAGTTTTGTACATGACTAAGAGTAATCTTATCTTAGCATGTAGAACACAAGGATAGTCTCCAATTCCCATCCTCTGGGCTGAGACATGGTCCCAGGTGCATTAATTTGTAGTCCATCTGCCAAAGCACAGGCCAAAACAAAGCCTTCTGACAGAGAGTCCCAAGTTCATGTGGCAGGACAGCAGAGGCATGTAATGGAACACTAGGTGCTGAAGGCAACAATTACGTCATGAAGACTGCAGATCTCACTCATGCGGAATCTAAAAATAATTGATCTCATAGAAGTTAAGGGTAGAATAAAGTAGAGCAGTAGAAAGTTGAGTTGTTACTGCAGACTGGAGAGAAAAGCAGATATGAGAGCTAGAAAAAAAAAACTAGAAGGAAGGATTTTGAATGTTCTCATGGCGAAGCAATGATAAATGTTTGAGGTGATAGATATGCTAATTATCATGATTTGATCTTTACACAATGTATGCATGTATCAGAATATCGAACTCTACCAAATAAATATGTACAACTGTTATATGTCAAAAAAATTATAAATGTTAATATTTTATATTAATATTAATATTAATATTTACATTAATATCAATGTAAATAAAAAAGCAGAAACAAAGCCATATGATACATGTAACACTTATACCACATGCCTCGGGTTATTTCAGTTACATTATGTGGTACCTTTGGGTAGAGAAGTGAATGAGAGTGAGGATGAGATGAAACGAGGCAGAAGAAAAAGAGAGGCCTTATAGGAATTGAAAAAAATGTGCCATAAACTGAAAGTGTGACTAAAACCTTTCATCTTCCTCTTTTGCCTCTTCTAAGTTATTGGTTCTGCTTTTCCTGAACCTGTTTTAAGCTCTCACCTTCTATATTACACATGGGAAGTCTGGCATCAGACTTCCAGAGAGCAGGAACTAGGTGAAATACAAGGGCACAGCTCTCCTAGCCTGTGGCATGGGTATCATCAAATGTAATTCTCCATACCTCTTTTAATAAAAAGATTTGTATAAGAGATTGACAGAGGCAACTTGAGGCTCTGCAACTACATTTCCCAGAGATCCCTGAGATGATTGTAACTAGACTCTAGGGTCAAGGGGGTATGGAATTCGAGTGAGATCACTTCCCTTGCAGATTGCGGAAGGGAGAGCACTTTATTACAGACCTTGGAAGCAAGAGGATTGCATTCAGCTTGGTTCCTGGTTGCTGGCCAAAGTAAGTAGAACTTTGAAAGTAATTTGCTGTGTACTTTGAAATTCGTGTGTAAACCAAAAATAAAATCAAGTCCCCCTAGTGACTGCATGAATCCCCTCTTGTCCTAGGGGACCCTAGAGAAATCTGGAAAACAAAATTCCAGGCCATAATGGAAAGGAAGGTCAGACACACCTCATTATAACCACTCCCTTTTGGAGTTTAGGCACAACTGACCAGCATTAACATTGAAATTGTAATCGTAAGACTGGCAAAATGGACTCTTTGTGGGAATAAGATACCAAATTCCAACCTGACTCTGGTTTAGCATCACAGGATGTTAGCAGACCCTGAAGGAAATCAAAATATTTAATCCCAAAATATATTTCTTTGACATATATTGAAATGGTCTTGCAAAGCCATGTTTTGTAGGGGAAATTTGCCTGTTTCTGGCTCTGCTTTGATTGAGGAGAGATTAAATGAGAGTCTGACACCTTAAAAATCTGAAAAGAGAGATTTACCATCTGTTTTCTCTAAGGCTGCTAGCTGGAGGTTTCATCTACATAACATGAACCATGGTTCCCACAGCCCCCTTTATCTTAACTCAAGCATTTCTTTGTACTGACTCGAAGTCTTTACACAAAGCTTAACACTTTCAACCAACTGCCAATCAGAAAATCTTTGAATCACCTATGCCCTGTAAGCTCTCCTACTTTAAGATATCTCAGATTTTCAGACAGAACCAGTGTATACCTTATGTGGGGGCCATAGGCAGTTGGCCCTTCTAAAGCTTCACTAAAAGTCACTGACGTGACATATTGATTAATAGGGGAAAAGGAATACAAATTTATTTAATGCGTATATGTGGTATATTAGCCAGTGTTCTCTAGAGGGCCAGAACTAATAGGATAGATGTATATGTAAATGGGAATTTATTAAGGAGTATTGACTTATACAATCACAAGGTGAAGTCCCACAGTAGGCCGTCTGCAAGCTGAGGAACAAGGAAGCTAGTCCGAGTCCCAAAACCTCAAAGATAGGGAAGCTGATAATGCAGCCTTCAGTCTGCAGTCAAAGTCCCAAGAGTACAAAAGCTGAAGAACTTAGAGTTTGATGCTTGAGGCCAGGAAGCATGCAGCACAGAGAAAGATGCAGGCTGGAAGACTAAGCCAGTCTAGTCTTTCCGCATTCTTCTGCCTACTTTTATTCTGGCCATGCTGGCAGCTGATTAGATGGTGCCCACCCAGATTGAGGGTGGGTCTGCCTTTCCCAGTCCACTGACTTAAATGTTGATTTCATTTGGCAGCACCCTCAAAGACATATCCAGGAACAATACTTTGTATCCTTCAATCCAATCAAGTTTGACACTCAATATTACCCATCACACTTGGGAAACTTGAGAATGAAGACCCAACTTCCCAATAAGTTACAGAAACTCATGTACAATTGCAAGGCCACAGTAAAGAGTGGAGACTCAAAGCATGGCCAGAAAGAGGTAAATGAATTTTAGTGGCAGCATAGGTTAAGAGAGAGAGGAAGGAAGAAGCTTGGCTAGCAAAAGTGGCCTAATGGTGTAGATAAACCTTTTTGCAGAAAGAATAGATGGTAAATGTTTCTTTTCAGATCATTAAAGATGTCAGACTCTCAATCTCTCCTGGTTCCTGGGAAAGGCTAGAAAGAGTGGAGAGCATAGCTGCATTAATGGAGATTGTCCACAGATGCAATTTTTCCTCAGTTAAGATAGCTTTGAAAAGCCACTTCTGCTTGTTGGCCAGTGGCAACCATTTTAAACTGTGTCAAAGAAATATATTTGAGGGTGAAATATTTTTATTTTCTTCAGTCCCCACTTTGAAACTTAAAACAAGTTTCACATACCAAAAACCAAGGTAATAGCTTTGGAGAAATTTGGGTTACAGGTATTTAGATAGAGGCAGACACAGCAGTGGAAAAATAAATTGGGATATATATAAATGAGCAAATTTAAATATATCATTCCATATCTTCTTTAGGCAGTCTCTTAGTTTTGAGGCGAGATCAGCTCAGTTAAAAACCTATCTCCAATTCCAGGAGGTGGCATTGCAAATGGTTTATGCCTCTAGATGTAATGTAGGCAATCAGATTTCTAGTAGAAGTCATCTCTATAGAAACAGAAAAAAAATAAAGGTTAATATCTGGAGTAGTCTATCTATAGACTAGCTTTTCTAGAATCTCTGAGGCATCTTCATATTGCAGTGGCAATCTTCCAGATTTCCCTGGAAGTTCAAACCAGGTGTTCAAGTCAACTTTCTGAGAAGGACTTGCGTCAGCAGGCATGCAATGAAGGTTGTTTGTAAGTTACTGTTATTCTCTCCTGATACTTTTAGTTTGCAGGATTTTGAGAAAACCACAGTTTTAATCTGTAGTGAATTCAAGTAAGAAAAATGGGGAAAAAAATTGGAAGTGTTATTCTGGAGACTTGTAGCCAGAAAAAAAAAAAATTCAGGATTTGGTCTAAATTGTAAAAAATAATAAGAACTGAAAAAACAATGGACAGGGTTAGAAGATAATAAAAGATATACTGTAGTTTTTGAAACATAATTTTTCTGCTTCTAATTCTTCAATTTTATGAAAGACATAGAACTGATTTATTTGAAAAATAAGTTTTGCTACTATACTTGGTCTGATTATTTGCATAATTAATTATTCTTGCATGCAGCAAGAATAATTATTTACTATATAGGCTCCTTTTTTAAAATTGACTTTGCTAGAACATTCTTTTTTATAAAGAATCTCAGATTAGATCTCTTAAAAGCATCCTGAGCTCAACCAAGGATTTATCTGTTTCTACGGATACCTGTATAAATTGAGTGAATTCTCTCTCAAGGTCCAAAATAACTTGGGGTTCCTGGGCCTGTCAGAATGTGACCTTCTTTACCTATTACAGGCCAGAAACCTATAAAAGAACCTGTAAAGGAACTGCATAGACAAGGTGCAAGGCCAGTTTCATCCACAGGGCTAATAATTATCAGATCAGCTTTATAAAGTCAATCTCAATTTCTTAAAAAGCTGCCATTCCAGTCAAATCCTTGACTTGTGTCTACACTTGTGTCCTGTTACAAAAGAAAACGGAGTCTAACTGAATTTATGCAAATGATTATATTCCCGTAAATTAGCGATAATCACTAAGAGTTTCCAAATTTCAGAGAAATCAGGCAAACAGAAGGAAATATGCTTTAAATTTTGCTCACAAGAGTGTACTTTACACAAAGATTAAAAGCTTTAAATATCCAAAAAGAAAAAAATTTCTTTACCCTGAAAAACAAAATAAACAAAAGTAGTAATGTTTCAACAAAAGCGATAAAAAGATTATTTCAGTCTTCTATTATTAGTTCAGTACATGTAATTAACTTCTGTTCTGTTGGATATTGGGTCAGCTGTCCTCATGAACATATAAACTCCCTGAGAGTCCTGGGAGTTTTTCTTTTCTTTATTCTAGTGGCACAATCTCCAAAATTATCATAAAGCTTTATTCAAGAGCACCCCTTAGAGTTGTATAGCTAATTGCAAACCACGTTTTTAAAAGGATCAAAGTAGAACAACTGTGACAGAAGTCTTAGGACAGCCATGGTCAAGAGCATACTTGACTAAGATAGCTTTGAAAAGCCACTTCTGCTTGTTGGCAATTTGCAGAAATTTGGTTATTTGAGGGTAAATAAAGGAAATTTGGTTATTTCTGTGGAATATAACAATTTAACATAATAATTATAAATACTACTGATAACATATGTGAAGACATCAGACTCATAGGAATATCATATGATTTTGAAAAACATACTAGTAACAGGTTTACATAAAAGTAGCCCAAATAAAGTTAAACACCATTTCGTATTGGACAGTGTTTCCTATATGATTTTAACATGCCAAATACACTAAATGTGTCCATTTTTGGCTTCAGGGGATTTAAGATAATGAGTTCAATAAGAATGAATTTAGAATTTGATTTTGGAAAGTTTGATTTTCTTCAGTCCCCACTTTGAAACTTAAAACAAGTTTCACATATTAAAAGCCAAGGTAATAGCTTTGGAGCCATTTGGATTAGAGGTATTGAGATAGAGACAGACATAGCAATGGAAAAACAAATTATAATCACCAAACAGGTCATTGTGAAATAAATCATTCATTTAGGCAAAGTGATAACTGAAAGATTTCAAAAAGTAAAAACCTTCACTCTTTGAGAGAGAAGACTCACTTTCACAAACAGTAAGACCTAATAAAGACAGCATGAGGCCAACTAAATTTGTCTCTCTTTCCTCAACTCCTGCTTTTTTTGCAGTTTTCTCAAAAGGTAAGCAAAAATCTTTCACTATCTCTTAATATTAAAAGAAAATCTTATTCAAGAGAGATCTAAATTTTACCATTGCATAGCATGTTAATGCTGAAGTTAACATTAATAAAATCTTGTAAACAAATCTATTTAATTTTAAATAGTTGTAACACAAGGTAAGATTTTTATAAATCTTTTACAACATTTTATAATTTTCTATAAAAGAGCAGATTAATGCTCAAATAAAACCCTGATATTTTGACATAAGGGCCTACATTCTGGCTCTATATTACTGTGTTTTTTATTTTAATATTTGATTCATACAAAAACTAAATAATTCCTTTCAACTTTTAGCCAGCTGGCTTACATACAGAATTCATTTTACAAGATCAATCCTTCAAAAACCTTTAGTTTTGTCCATATTTTTAATTTAAAACCATCTTTAAAAACCTGTACCTAGACAAAATTCCTTTCCTGTTAGGAAAAATCGCATTCCATGCCTTTTTGTAACTTTTTATCAGACTCATCATACTTGTTTCTATGCACTTTGTATGTATCTAGTAGTTTTCATTACATACTTTAACTGTAATGTTAACTCTTAGTAACTCTCTTTTTTAATAAAATCTTGGGAGGTAAGCACTTTAAATTATGTACAAGGTGCAAAGGTCAGGGCAAGGGAAAATGCCTAGAGCTGGGCTTCCTCATAGCCTAAAGTTTCATA